CCTGCCCGCGGGACCGCCCGCCGGGGCGGGGTGCCGGCCGCGGCCGGGGCTCCCCTTGTGCCCGGAGATGTACAGCCGCAGCTCCAAGCGCTGAGAAAGCTTTAAAACGCGTTTGCTCCCTCCTCGAGGTGGCCTGGCCCGGCTGCTGCATGTGGGAGAGCCCAGGCCGGCGGCTGGGCCCAGCCCCCCCGCTAAGGGCACACGCGTGGAGCTCGGCTCTCTGTCTGAGAAGACATCTGTGCCCTTAATTTTCTGCTGGTAGAAAACATCTGTACTCTTATTTTTGTACTCAATAGCAGCTTCTGTCAAGCCCAATCTAAACATCCGTGTAGAGAGCAATTCTGCACTTGTGCACTTACTGTCTTATGTGTCAGTATCAATACCTGTTGCCGTGTACCCATCCATCTAAGTAGTTTTATCTAACTGTAGCTAGATAATTACAACAGATGTAAATATTTTAGGTGTCTAAAGTATGTTCATTAGCACTCTCTAATCGCTGCAATGCTGACTTTTAAATGTGAAAAACTAAGCATCAGAGTCAACACCTAACCATTGCCACATCTCAGATATACACCCGATGGTTCTTTGCAGGCCTAGACATCAGCTCTTCATTATCTTATATTCCAGGTGAGATTTTCAGGCAATCTTTAAGAACAAAAATAACCAGAGAAGAAAGGTAGCTAATAGATAGCTAAACCATTTTTTTTCACGGGTCACCAGTTTATCTAAGGCTGATGGCATTTTGTAACTTTGTGGTGTGGCTGCCTTTATTTCCCCTACAGGAATATTTCCCTGATACTATCAAATAGCTCTCACATTGTTGCCCATGCAATAACTTCACGTCCACCATTCCCTCTGTATCCCTGTACCCACCTATCTCATTCTCCTAGTTCCCATTTCCCCACTTTGAACCGCCATCCTTCACCTGTGTCCTCCCAAGGCTCTGTTTAACAATTTCTCTCCTTTCTTAATTCCTGTTGCCATTGCGATTTGTGCTCTTTCACTCAGCTCTTTGCCATTTCCTCATTTCCATCTTTCACCTCATCTATGCCATAGCACAACTCTCCCCACAGCCACATCCCCTTTTCTCGGTCTCATTACTTTCCTCGGGCCTTTGAGGGTCGCCTTGACAGTCCCCACTTTCTCTTGTATATACGTAATTCCCATTAATGTTCTTTTGGCTATAGTAGGCCCTGGGTGAGCAGTAGGTTGATGTATTGGTTCCTGGCACTGAGAAATTTGAGTACATGAAGCAGATGTTTTTGAGCTCTTGGCCACGTTTTGGATATTGTTGACTTTTTCCTTAACAGAATGCTGGTACACAGCATTTTAAGCTTTTTGCTGTCTGTAGTAGCAAGGACATAATGTAATAACTCCACAATAATAATAATTAGTAAAATGCACAGTTTGGTGATGTAGTCAAATTTTGCAGGTGGCTTTTGTATTGGCAGAGCCAACATACGTGTGAGTAGATTTCTGTTCAGGGCTAGGGCTAGGAGTTTTGATGGGTACTGTCACTTGAATTGCCTTCTGGACACTCTCCATCTGTCATATGAAATGCTTGCATTGAAGCGCCAGACAAGGAGAATAGGGCAGGTTCTGTATTAAAGTTCAAAACGTGGTGTGGCTTTTGGCGAATGGTGGGGCAGTGAGAGGTGATTAACATCCTCTTCCTTTTACAACAACAGATCTTAATTTTCCAGTAACTGATCATAATGCTTAGAAATCAAGCTAAAGACAGTTTTAGGATATTTAACTTGTTTGGAGTAGGTGGCAATTCTGTATCACCTCACTGAAAGGTGTCATTATGGGCTACGATATATCCTGGTGTAAGCACTGGCATGGGACTCTGAATAATTCTCCTTCTGCAGTAAGACAAGACAAGGAATTTTATCTCCAGGTTGAAAAACCTGGAGATAAAATTCCTGAAAATATTTAAAAGGTATTCTTGTGGGGCTGTTAACTCCTCTCAGGTACCTAATAGGCACAAAGTTCTTTGTTAATAGTGTCAGTATAGTGCAAGAACTGTGAGCATCAACAAGAAATGTTGATAAGACATATACATTGTCTCTGAAGGTAAAAAAATGGAATACACTCAGGTCAGTCTCAATTAACAGAAAATGCAAGGAGGTACTATAATAAATAGCAAGTTATATAAGCAGGAGTTCTGCTCAGATATCTAGGCACATCTATCTTCAACTGTTTTGAAGTAAGAGAATAATTCATATAGCCATGTTCCCACTTAAGAAAGTTGAAATGATGAAAAATCCTAACTTTTCATCTTAACTGTTTCTGTACCTAATGCTCTGGAGAAAGAATTGCTGTTTCCCAGGAGAAAATGAAAATCTTTTAAAATTTGATGCTGTTAAAGACCCCAAAGACCCCCTGCCTGTAAGAGACAAATGTGTATATTGTAGTTGTTACTATAGAAAAATATTATAAAATAAAAACCAGTAAGCACCAACTCAAGACACTTTGATCACTTGGAATGGAATTGTAAAGGTCAGTCTGAAACCCCCAGACAGCCAGGAACTAGAATAACGTCTCATAATGAACTTTATGCCAGATTTCTGAAAACGGCGCAGATGCTCATGCTCTCAGTGCTCCTTATGGACACAGCACATTCTTCATCAGCAAAACAGAGCTGGGAAGAACACTGGAAAAGGCTGTGTGATTTAGGCAGAAGAGAGAGACTCTAAGTCTCGCGGTCTCTCGGCAGGGCAGAACACTGACCCAGCCCGGATTAACCCGGTTAAGAACCCACCGAGGTTTATGGTCCCCGCAGGACTCGAACCCTCAATCTCATCCAGGCCACGCCCCCCCGGCCACGCCACGCCCCCTGCCAGGCCACGCGCCCCCCGGACCACGCCCCCTCGCGGTACGTTACCGGTTTCGGCATCCATTGTGGCGTTTCAAACCCACGCCCTGCCCTGTCAGCCAATCAGCGCGCTCGCTGCCGCCGGGGCTGTCGGGAGTCCGCACGGCCCTGGGG